ACCCTCTGTAATTTATAAAATAAAATAAATTTGCAACGTACTTTGCATATTTATTTATTTTTTAGCTTGCCCTCATAATGTTAAAGAAAGCTAATGACTAACACCCCCACCCAAAAAAATTAAAATAAAAAAAAATGTCCTGGTTAACTTGCACTTGGGTCTTCCAAATTCATACTCAACTATCTAGCAAGCAGACTGCAATAATATAAGGAGCAACCTTATACCAACACAGACCAATGATCTATGTAGCCCAGTGCTGTCACAGTCTAAGTGGCAGATGATCTACAAAGTTCCTGTCAGCGGTCTTCTCCTAGCTTCTTATTTGAGAGCTTATTTATAAAGCTAAACTAAAAAACCAATTATATAATGTAATGCAATTTATAATGACATAATGCTACTAATCTAGATTTGTGTGCCAAAATCACATCAGAACACATTGAAAAAGTGTTAATTGTTTAATCTTTTGAACAGATACTGTAGATGAGATTGAAAGTGAGCCATACAGCAAATATTTCTTATATGCAAACAAATGTATGCATTTATGTATTTTATAAATACTCCACATTTCAATGTAACACATTTCTGCAGTGGCTTTAAAAATATTAACATAAGCACATTCTGCTTATTTTTTTTGCAAAATATCACCAGAGCTTAGACAAAGAAACCAGTTTCATTGCTACAATTCAAATATGGGGAAATGTGACAATGCATCTTAACACATGTAGTGTAGCCTTGCCACTGAGAAACCACAATAAATAATCATAAATATGGGATTTGAGGAAGAGTTTCAAGGAAACGTTTGGGATTTCCAGGTATGTTTGAGTTCCAGCATCTCTCATTTTAGATATTAAGCACAAGAACCTCTGTGTACGCTTAATGGAAATTCTGTATCTGAACCAGAAATTGCACAGAAAACATTTTGCATGAATAATTGGTTTTGGTACAAACAGAGGGACCATAGCTCAGTGATTTGCATGAAGAGGGTCCACAGTTCAATCTTTGGCAATTACAGATAAAAGTGTTAGGCATTAGATTATGTGAAAGTCCTCTTCATGAGATACAGGACAGTCACAGACAATACGGGGCTTAGATAGACAAATAGTTAACAACAATCCTAGACTACGTTGTGGAATGTGTATGCAATGTCTTTGCTAAGAGCCATTTCTTATATATTGCTTTTGAAACATAAGTATACCAGATATCTCTCAGCAGGAACATTTATTACTAAGTTGATGACATTTTGTCCATGCTCTAGCCACACAGAATGCAACATATTTAATTGTGCTGATTATAGCTACAATCAATCACTTAACAGTCTAGCTAGAGACTACACCAGAATGAGAAGCTTGGATATGTGTGTATGAGAGAGGGAGAAAGAGTCAGAGAGTGCGACAGAGAGAGAGAAAGAATTACATATGTAGTAGTTGCTATTGCCTGTATCGGCATTAATCAACTACAAACATTCCAACGTTAATCATCAGTGTAATGGAAATGAAGACACTGACATACAACTTTGTGATAGAACAAATTACCATAATAAATGATGAAGTTTCACCTCTGTGTTTCTTTCTGATAACTGCCTTCACATCCACATTGCATATTATCTAGAAAAGGAAGACCAGTATCACATTGCAGCACTGTTTTTTCCTCTTGTCACGGTGCCTTCAATCATCAATCATCCAATTATTTCTAAGCTAATAGTAACATATCCTCATCTATTGTCTAGGGGTAAGACTCAGTTGATACAGCAATATTTGTTTTGAAAGCTAAAATTATGCATTGTAACTTAACTGTGCATTGTAAGTAAAAAAAAAGTGGCATGCAAGTCAGATTTAAAAGAAGAAGAGGAGTTTGGATTTGATATCCCACTTTATCACTACCCAAAGGAGTCTCAAAGCGGCTAACATTCTCCTTTCCCTTCCTCCCCCACAACAAACACTCTGTGAGGTGAGTGGGGCTGAGAGACTTCAGAGAAGTGTGACTAGCCCAAGGTCACCCAGCAGCTGCATGTGGAGGAGCGGAGACGCGAACCCGGTTCCCCAGATTACGAGACTACCGCTCTTATCCAGTACACCACATTGGCTCTCCAGTGTGAGAGAAAAAATTGCATGGCGCCCTGAAATAGTAAATATTGGTATTCGCGTGTGAAGACCCCCAAAATACGCACACAATAGACACAGAATTTTAGTTTAAGGTTTTTGGCAATAATTTGGCCACAACTTTATTGAATTACAGCATGTGAGTGGTTGCCTAGGCATTGGTTCCTGACTACCTGACCCTGCACTGTGGCAGGACAGGACTGACAACTGGACTCCACCAGAGGTCAGTAAGGGAAACTATACTGGGGGAAGCACAGAGTTGAGTGCAGGCTCCAGTTCACCCCATATGTTCCCAGGGACTCTGGAGTGGCCCTAACCCCCAAAAGGTGATCAGACAAAAGCAAGGCGAGCCCCTGGATTCCTTTAACAGAATTCCCTAGCAGCAGCAGTGGAGGGGCAGGCACAGCCAACCACTTCCCCTCCGCAAAATATTGAACCAATGCCTAACCGCCAACATTACAAAGTTGTGACGATTTGCTACACGGTAGGCAAAAACCAACTGGCAACAGCCAAATGGCAAAATTCCTACCAGGCCTCTGCTCCAAAACAGACGACCCCCTAGACAGGCATAGCAAGGCCAAAGAACAGCCCTAAATATAGGGTGGGAGGGCGGGTGATCCGATGCACGTGGCAAGAAAGAGAAAGCTCCCAGTGATGTGCAGCAGCTTAAATAGTCCCTCAGTAGCCAATAGACAACCCAACAGGCCAAATTTTTGCCCCAGCAACTGAGGGGCAACCAATGGGGTGTTGTGGCTATCCAAATGGTCCTGCCCCACAACAGGGAGGCAGTTTAGGGGATCTCACCGCAACATGTGCTCTCCATGATGGAGGTCATGATTTCCCAGAAGGTGCTAAAGACTCCACAACTTCTTGTTTGCAAACCATACTTCATTCAAATGCCTACTTACTTCCCTTTAAGGGTCAAATCAGATGCAATGTTAATTGGTGCAAATGTAAGCATATCATGAAATACAAAAAACAAAAACAAAAAAAACCAACAACTTGGGAAAGGTGTTGTTGCTTAGGCAGGCAGTTATGGTAAGAAGAAAAAAACTTAAACTTCCCCTTCCCACTCCCAAGGCATATCCATGACTGAAATTTACATAACAAAAATGCATATAATAATTGCCTTCACACAATTAATGTCTCATCTAGTTTGACCCTCAGTTAATTCAGTTGGCTTCAACAGTAAGTTAGTAGCAGTAACAGTAACCTAGTAACTTTTCTCAGAAAGCTATTTCTTTCTCAATTAGGGTTTGCATTAGCAATCCTTGCATCTCACAAGTGCAGCCATAGAGATTCTGGTTCTTTTTTCACTGTTTAAGTTCATGAACTTCCAAGTACAGTATTTATTTCACTGCTGTGCTGGTTCACTGACTTTCTCAGTGCTGAAAACCATTTCATGAGCCCATAATGGTTTTCTCACCTGAAAATAGAAATAGAGTACTCTCAGACACTTCACTAGGGAACCAATTTTTAGCTTAGCTGTGTCCTGTTGTATGCAGTAGGCTCATATGGCAAAATGCTACACGCACAGTGGTAGACATTTTAAAGAATCATATTTCTCTGTGTACTTCTGAACACTAGAATACTTAGTTTTATATTTTATAGTTTAGTTAAAAAAAAATTCCACTAAAATGCTCAAAATCTTCAGAAGGAAAATAAATTTCTTACAAGTTGGACCTTACGCAGCTCATCTGGAAGTCCTAAAAAGTGAAAGTATATTTGGTTCTGCATTGTAGATTGTAATATAAGCTTATCCAGTTTGGTCCCTCAGCAACTATGGCAAGTGGCCTGTAATGCAGGGGGCAATAGTAAAGAAAAATCTGAAGGGTGACTTTTGAAAGTTAATATTGTGATTGTCATAATGTTCATTAAAAATATGGAAATATGTTTTCTAAAAGCAAATCAGTAAAATAGATTGCAGAATACACTCCTTAAGAAAGGGACCATATTGCATGGTCAATACAAAGGATTGCATATTTTAAATCACAGTTAATTTTTCTTTACATGGAGTAGTTGAAAGGCAGAAATCTTGAAGTAGCAACATTTACTACCTAGTGCACATGTGTATCAAATAATGTTATCATTCGTACAACAATAATGCCGCTTTATTACGGTTGTAGACCAGCGTAAGGAGGGAGGGATATCATTCATACAGTTATCAATAGTTTTCTATTGATTTCAATTTTGACCCTCTTATTAGGAGTTTGTTTGCTTTCTGATAGCATCACTTTACAGGACTAATATACAGTCTTGCTTGGCATAACCACTTAGGATTGAAATAAGGTTATATGGTGACATTCTGCAAGTAGCACAGTAAAGACAAGACATTAAACCTCTTTGCAGTGTGAAATACTGCAAGGCTGGTAGATGTCTTTGCACCTTTAAAAGTGTGTTCCAATGAACCTCAGCTAAAAGGCATAAATATTTTTTATTCTACTATTTCTCAGCAAAACTCTTTGGTCATAATTATACTAGGCCTCTCTATTAAGAATATTGCACAAGGTATGTTCTCTATTGCAGTATTTCTTTCTCTGAATAGAGCTATATTGCAATAAAGGTATACTCATTATTGCTTAATGAAATTCAGCACTAAAATTCTTTGCCTCCTCACCTTCTTGTAGGAGGCAAAGGCTAGAATGTTCATTAACAGCCAACAAATATATTTGATATAAACTTAAGCAATTTCTTAACATTAAACTGTCAGAAGACTCAGATTTATTTGCAGAATGCTTAAAGCTTCATTTTTATTTTTATTTTTGGTCTGGGCCATGCTTGTGTTCAGGTAAATGGGTCTATTACTGGTATGAAGGATTCTATGCTGATTTCATAGAACCATAGAATTGTACGGTTGGAAGGGGGTCCTCTGGTCCAGCCCCCTGCAACACAGGTAACTTTTGCCCAACATGGGGCTCAGACCCATGACCTTGAGATTAAGAATCTCATGCTCTACCATCTGAGCTATTCCAAGGCTCCAACTCCCTTTATCCCTAGGCAGCATGGTCAAGAGCTAGCAGTGATGAGAATTATAGCCCTACAGCATCTAGAAGAAGAAAACATTGGCTAGTCCTGGGACATGAGGGATGCAGTAGACAGAGAAGAGTGGTGAGAATTGGGTGCTCTGACTTTCAAACTGGAATTCATCTCACCAACCCTATCAGCAGAAGCACTTTCTACTAAGGCAAAGCCACTACCCAGGAAGCACAACCCAGAAAGTTTTCACTGTGGTGAACTTTTAAAAACTAATTAGGTTTGAGCTTAATTTAAAAATTTAAATAGAACATCATGCTGTCTTTCTACTTTTTAATGACTTTCAATGATTCCCACGTAGGGGTATTAGCATGACTTCATTGTTTGGCAACTCATGTTAATCATTCTTTGGAAAACAACCCTAAAGATGTTTGACATAGAGTAATAACATGTGCACACATATTTATTTCCCATTAATGAAGCATTTTATAACCAACCACGCAGCTGCCTTAGTTTTCACTCCGATTATTTACAGTGTCTGTGAGGTGAATAGCAAGGCATTAAAATCAATAGTAATGATGAAGCTGCTCTAGATAAATTATATTTCTTACACTGTCACTTGCTATCACCATTCCAATTTATTAAGTTGCCGAGCGTGTTATTCGAAAAACAGTATGTTGCAAACAAAATAATTAAAATAAAATTAGTCAACAGTGTAATTCAATTATATATTCCATTAACACTTGTTTGTTAAAAGAATGTTAATTACAAAGGAAATAAATAGAACACACTCTTTCCCTGTTAACCTTCCCATATTTCAAGGTGAGACATTTCTAAAACACTACCCATCCATTCTGCAAGTTTCTGAGCACTTTGACAGTCTCTCTGATAGTACCATGCCAAAAGCAGCTTTAAATACTATCTACCATTTCAATTGCCTCCCTTCTACTAGGGAGAGTTCTAGTACCATACACAGGCAAGAAGGGGGTACCAGGAAGCTTGGGAAACCCCAAGGCTTATAGAACAGCAAGAAAACTCTTTAATAAGAACCCTAAAAGATATGGTGGTGCTAACTTATTGTTGGGGTCAGATCTAGAAATAGGTGGTGGTGGAATGGAGTGCCCTGGAAAACTCTGTACAATCTGTACCACAACATTTTGTTCCGGGTCACCTTGTTACTGCTTTAGTTTTTATCTCTTTGTTTTTGACAAAGGAAGCAAGCCTATGAACAGAAGAGTCACAAATTTGCCTATTTCCTGTTTTTTCAGGCTCATTAGTTACCTCCATTTGATGATCCCCTTATTACTCATAACTCTGATTTCAGAACAGGGCAGGGCTTCATTTCATGACCGAGAAAATGTACAAAAATAATTATTGCATTTTCCATACTGGCTTGTAATTAATATAGATTAAAAACCTCTACCAACAACAAATGTGAGTTCTTTGACAAAGCAGTGTAATTCTGATGAAAGAAATGTCTGTGCCAAAATAATAATAGTCAGTCCCAACAGAAAGGTGAAATAAAACATTAGCAAAGCCTCTAGTTTATGGTCAATTTAATTAACATAAATGTTCTGCTTGGATCATTTGGCACAGTAATGCTTTGCAATAAAGCTGCCAGTGACAAATACTTTTTTATTGTTTACTTTATTGCTTTCCTCCCCACATCTACCCAGGGCTGCAATCTTCTCCCAAGTTAAGTACCTCCTGAAGAGAATGAGTTTGAATGCAATGCAGTTTTTTCAGCCTAACTTTTTCTTTCTCTCCAATGCCGGCTGCTTGCTGCTAAGAACCAAAGGGAAAGAGTCATCACGTCACTTACTCTTTATAATCTCACAAGATCTCACCAGAGGGATCCTTTTAAAAACCTTTTGATAACATCTAATTATTAATTCAAAGTGCAGTTGTAAAGTAATGCTTATATGCCATTTTGAGAGTGTTCTGCAACTAAGGGAAAAGAAACAAAGTATACTGTCCTGTCCATTCAGATATGCAATATAATGATTGTTATAATATTGTCCCCATATCATTTGAGGACAAGCAATCATGACAGCAATCATAATAATTAAAAAGGGTGGGATCATCTCACCAGCCCTATCTTTCACAAGGACTTCCACTTGTATAACCGGCTTCCCCTCTTCTCTCCTTGTGCGCCCCCAAAATTGGCTTGGTGCAGAACCCCCAGAACAGTTCAACATTTCCAGTTCAAGACTCTAACCACTATTTCAACTAGCTTTCATCATGAATTATCTTAGAAGGCATAACATGCCATCTGTGAAAAACTTAAACAACCCCTTGAAATACTTGAACAATGTCCAGCTGAGCAGCTTCAACTTTTAACTGAGATGAAACTTGTTTAGCTGAACTAATTATGAATAGTGTTCATATAATGCATAAAAGATTCATATAAATAAAGAACCATGAGAATAACCAGTGCTTTCTTCCCTTTAAAAATGTTTAGGGGGTACTCTCATTTTCAAACCCATATTGAAATACTGCCCCTCAATGAGGCCAAATTTAGATTCACAAAATGTTTAGGGGTATGCGTACCCCTGTGTACCCCCAGAAAAAAGCACTGAGAATAACGTTGCTCAGATTCCCATAGAATGAGGTACCAAAGTTGTAGATATCCTGAGGGAACATTCAGAACACTGTCCTGATTATTTTGGATCACTTTCAATTATTACCACCTGGAACCCTAACCAGCTGTGAATATTCAAAGAACATAAGAAGAGTCTGCTGCATCAGGCTCATGGCCCATCTCTGTTGTGAACAAGATACCTGTGGGGAGCTTGCAAGCAGAGCATGAATGCAATAACACTCTGCCAACCTGTAATTCCCAGCAACCCGTATTCAGAGGCATATTATATTGTTGGTGCTTCCACCACCAACAGAGGTCTGGCGGATGGAGCTCCATGGGACAAATTTGTAATGCCCCAGCTTTGCAGCTCCCTTTCCCCTGATGTGTGTCTGGCCCCAACATTGGAGATGTTCTTTTTACCCAGGCTTTTGGGAATGTGCAATGATTGCTTACTTTCTGCATATGATTTTATTGTTTGCTCCCTGTATCATATTTTAGCTACTGGACAGCATCTTAAAAAGCAGAGACATCACCTTGCCAACAAAGGTCCGTATAGTTAAAGCTATGGTTTTCCCAGTAGTGATGTGTGGAAGTCAGAACTGGACTATAAACAAGGCTGATCGCCGAAGAATTGATGCTTTTGAATTATGGTGCTGGAGGAGGCTCTTGAGAGTCCCATGGACTGCAAGAAGATCAAACCTATCCATTCTGAAGGAAATCAGCCCTGAGTGCTCACTGGAAGGACAGATCATGAAGCTGAGGCTCCAATACTTTGGCCACCTCATGAGAAGACTCCCTGGAAAAGACCCTGATGTTGGGAAAGATTGAGGGCAGAAGCAGAAGGGGACAACAGAGGACAAGATGGTTGGACAGTGTTCTTGAAGCTACGAACATGAGTTTGACCAAGCTGCGGGAGGCAGTGGAAGACAGGAGTGCCTGGCGTGCTCTGGTCACAAAGATTCGGACACAACTAAACAACAACAATTTGACCATTGTTCATGTGGGCTGAAACTGATAAGAGGGTACCCATCTCTGCTTTACATCTTTGCTGAAAAGCCAAATATTTTGTAGAAAAAGACAATATAATTCAGTTAAAGCCATAGGTCTTATACCTGTCTCAGAGATTTCAAACTTATTTCCTTGTAAGGCTACACTGCCTTCCATCAAATGTATTGTCTTAAACATGTTGAGGTTCTGATAAACAGAGCATTTCCTTTTTAATTGCTTCACAGAACTGCAAATTATTATTTTTGAGCACATGTGCCATCCTTCCCTCTTTATTTTAGGCATATTTTAAAACTGAAGCTAGTGTTCTTCCTCAATATATTTGCCACTTAACATGCAGAACAAGTAGCATAGCAACAGCTGGGATATTCCCTATGCACTTTAAGAAGCATCTTGCTGCATTCAGTTGAAACTGGTGTCCAACGTGGGGCCTTTAAGGTGAGTTGTATGGTTGGCTAGTCAACTCTGTGTTATTATCATTTAGATGATACCCACATGGCTTGTGATAGTCTAACTTTCATAAAATGCTGTTTTCCTTTTATCCAGGCTTAGGAATGTTCTTCATTCTCTTGATTTTGCTACATCCTGTACCTAGAAAAATGGTTTCCACCAAAGACTTTAAAAAACCCACCTCCCCTTTACACAATTTGTATAAGATTGCAATAAAGAACAGAAGTGATATTGTAAACTGAGTGATACTGTTTTCCAATTTCTTCCATATTCAGTGAAGTTCAAGGTACCCATTAAAGAGTTATATAAAATACCATTCCTTTCCAAATATTTGTACAAGTTTCTAGTTTAATCATGAACAAATCTTATTAATTGAGGGGAGGCATTCTTGTGATAACATTTACAATGATCAGAAAATAATTTGTGCTGGCACAATAGCAAATTTTCTAACGGCACAGAAATTGAACCTCAGCTAAGACTGACATCCATTTAGCTAAATGCTTCCTATGTACAAATACAGTAGGTGAATGCTATGAGTAAAATAAAGTTTAAACCTCTTATTTAATTATGTCAAACAATGGAAATAGTAATTTTATTTTACTTTGGCTAAAGAGGAAGTGAGAGCATCTGAATATGAAAATTCAGAAGGGCATTATCATCAATTCCAGTCTGTTATTGATGAAGGCTTTCAATCATATTAACCAAATCTAAAGTTTTCAGGGGGGTTTCTAAAAGAAAAGAAAGCTTAACCTGTCAAATCCAAGGGAAGTAGTATTTATAAACTGGTGGAAGTGAGTAAAACTAAACAATTTTATTTATTTATCTATATCCCACTTTCCCCCCAGAAGTGAGACTCAAGGTGGCTTACAAAAATAAATAAAACAAATACTGATAAAACACACATAGCTAAAAACATGAAGATTATGCTTAAAAGGTAATTCAGCAATCTATGGAACTTAAACAATGT